CAATGTCAAAAATATAAGATAAATAGGAAAAATATATACTAATTGTCAGAAATATATGCTGTGTCAAAAATTTATGCTAAATGCCACAAATATATGCTAAATGTAAGAAATATATGCTAAATGTTAAAAATATACATTAAATGTCAAAAATATGCGCGTAATGTTAAAAACCGAGTATTATTTATTATAAGATCCTGTAAAGCGGTTGTAAGATGATAAATTATATCACAAGATTGATTGACTCCCGAGATTTTTAGGAAAACTATTCTACGTATTTCTAGATATTTTTTAAAGCTATTTTGGTTCCTTGGATTACAGTTATAAAGAGGTAACGATAAAATTAGTTTTTGTAGTTTTTGAAAAAAATAGAGTTGTTTAAATAATCGAAATTATACTATAAGCATAAGAAAAAAGTTTTCTTTATAATATATTCATTATAATTGACTATTTTATGACGAAACTTTCATTAGAATTCAAGCTCAATAGTTCGATATTGACTGATTTAATTTTTTAAATTATAGTTCCGAAAATGTAATATTTACAAAATTCTCAACTTTTCGTTTTCATCGAATTTCTACCGGATCAAATCCGGTCACCGCCGTGGCTATTCAACCCGTTCCGTTCTAGAAAGATTTTTTTTAAGATTATAGAATACAAAAATAACGAATGATTACGTCAGTAGAAAATATTTTACAATTTTTCTGCTCTACGTAGATATTTACGAAGTTTTGTGCATCAAAATGAACAAATACAGTTATTATATATAAAAAATTTCCCTAAATTGTGTGGGTCAAATTAATTTCTAGGCGTTATTTACCAAATAATAAATAGTCCTGACAATTTAGAATTTTGCAAACATTGACTGGACTATTTTTTCTCCAATATAAAAAATTAAGGATATTATTTTGACGGGATTAAAATCAAAATAAAGGAAATGTGGCAGGTTTTCTGTAAAAAAAATGATTGTATAGACATACAGACTTCTTTCCAACTAATTTTTGTGAAAATATAGCGATAGAACCTTTAAGTATTTAAAAATTTGTATATTATTTGTAGAATTTTGCTTTTTATTTTGATTTAATAACAAATGAATGTCAAAATTCAATTAATAATTATAATAATAATAAATAATAATAATAATAATAATAATCCCAAAAACGTTTTAATTAAATTAGAATTAAAGATGTTAGAAATCTGAGACAAGTAGATCCAGAATTTTGATTTTACTCATGCCAAAATTTATGCATTATGACAAAAATCTTACTAGCAATCCTAAAAATACGTAATAACGATAATAATACTTTCTTTTTTGTATTGGCATTATTTTAGTTTTATGAAAATAAAATTACCTAACAAAAAAAGATGTAAGTGATAATTTTGAGCAAGATACTTTCGATGTTGTCATGGAAAAATAGTTAAATGCCGTTTCTAAAAGATCTCTCACATTTGTTTAACAGAATGGTCCATATTTCCAAGTGTGAGAAGGCAATAAAAGTGATATGCAAGTAGTAAAATGTGATTTTTTTTTTGTATAAATTCGTTTTACTTATAGGTAAATTTGGTCTGTTTTCAAAGGTGTCTTTGGATACTTTTAAGTAGAAAAAAGTTTCTGCGCACGATGGTGATCTTCGCACAAGTACTGATCGAAAACTTAAAGAAATTTTCAAATATAGATAATACAAAGAGTATTAAAACATCAAAATATTTTAAATAGGATTTTTAAAATTACCAAAAAACTTTTATTTAATGATTTGTTGTATTATAAAATCTGGGACATCCTTTATGATATTAGTGTGTCCTTAAGTCGCATTAGATATTGATGTATAAGTATTACGATTAATAATTAATCTTGCAAAAAAAAGGTTCCTTATTTAATTATTTAGATACTGAATTGGACAAAGTATAATAGAAATGTAGGTGAAACAAAGATTACCTTAGAACGCTGGTGAGACATACGAGTACTTCGGTTCATTCACGTACTATTTTATTTACCGACCCCTCAGATTTTTCGGTGGGTGAGAGACTAATGCACTACATACATGTTAAAAGTTTGAGGATACGTTGGAATTCGAAGATCCTGTATGTAAAAAGACTGAGGTTGCTTACAGTTACCCCACCTCATTCTATAATGAACGCTTCTGTTTCGATACGGCGTGTGGAAATTGGGATGGGCATTTTTGTCACGAAATATTTTGAGTTCTATGGGCAAGATAGAGAAAGGTTATTGTTACTTAGGAGATGGCGATATATACTAGAATGTTTTTGGATTTTGATTATATTATGTTGAAGTGAGAGAACAATTGTTATTTAAGGGATAGCAGATTAAGGACCCAATTAATAATAAGTGTACGTCTCCGTGCTTTATCCACGTGAGTTACGATTTCCGAACTTCTCAACAAGACAAAATATGTTTGGTCTTTAACTTAGAAAAGTTGTTGCTTCCAGACTTTCACATAGTAATTTTTAAAATTTTGTAAAAAGCTATTGTTGAAAGCTCCCTTTTGCCGCGTTAATAGAACCAGTTTTTAAAGTTATTACAGTCCACTTTTATTTATCTCACAGAATGCAGATGTCTCATTTAAAACAGCAACAAATCTCGATAGATGAATAAAATTATCTAACACTGTGCAAACATTAAGACAGATCAACTCAGAGATATAAAATTATCTTTGTATAATAGATTTGGCTATTATTTGACACAACAAGGTTTATTTGAAACAATCAGCGTAAAGAAAGTAAAATAGAATGGAAAGTAATTTGAGAAAGCATAGGATTAGCAGCAGAAGTAAATATTGAGGTTGTAAAAAAAAGTAAGAAACGAATGGTACATAAACTAATAATAAAAAGTAAAAGGAGTTTTTGTGTATCTGAAACGATAAATTAAAGTGTGGCTGAGAAGAAAATTAGAAAAATATGGGGCCGGAGACAGTAAAGATTATTTGAGTAAAATGTTTTAGAAGACAAGAGTAGAGAACGCAATTTCAAGTAGGTAAAATATTAAGTTCTGGGGTACCACAACAGAGTGTTATGGGACCACTTGTCTCATGTCTTTAGATATTATAGATCAATTTAACTGAATGAAAATGTAAAAAATTATATAAAACGATCACAGCTTACTCTTTTTATGTGCTAAATCATTTCACCCCGGGTTATTAGTTAATAATTTTATTTTTATTCTAGAAGTCTAAAATTAAGCTAATTCCTAACATTTTGAAGACACCGATGTGTAACGTTCATTTAGCGTATTTGATAACTGCGACCATAATTTAAAAGTATTTCGTATAAAACGTGTTTTCCATTTTTTTTTTCGTTAACCGATCAATTTACAATATGAGAAAGAGCATTCCACCAAAGCAAATTCGACAATCAATTTGGTACATAAAATATTCAGTAGAGTGTAGATTATATCGATTAAAGCTTTTCTTTTATTGTTTTTTATCACGTTTTGGTCCCAGACATTTTTCCAGCGGTCAAAGCCAAAGAAATGTCTTTCTTCTATTTTTTTTGGTTCATTTTATTTCAAAATTTTAAATTTTTATCGATTACTGATATGTTTTTTAATGAAAAATACATTAGTATCAAAGACACCTTTTCGTTACATAAATACGCATTAATCCCATTTAAATATTTGTTGATAATTCAGAAAATAACCGTAAAACATACTTGAAATATCTGTGGCATCGTCGAGGAAATGTAATAATTCTACCATTAAACTATGAAAAAATAAATTTACAATATTTTTTTTACTACTACTTTTTAAAGCTGTCCGTACACTATTTTTTTCATATCGCACTCGTTGGCACCATTTTGTTGTAGCTGTCATTTTTTTGTTTTCCTAATCACACTTTATTGCTTTAAAGAGTTTTAGTGACAGTATTTGTTTTTAAATAGATTTATATTTACATAGAAGACGAAAGAAATTTGACAACAGTTTGAAGAAATAGAATCATTAACCTGTTGTTCATCGAAAATTCAACGTAGAAATTTAATACTGGTCGATAAGAACATAAGCATGTCAAATGTCAAACCTCGATACTGTCAAATGATCATATAAATAACTTTAGACGTTAAAGACAAATGTCAAAACGCAATTTATGTCAAAGAGTTACGTGTAATATGTCATGAAAAGTTTTGTTCTTGACATAGACGATTTTTAAGGTAAGGTGAGACGTCACAAGGTAACGTTTAATGTCAAAAAATAATGTTACGTACCATTAAAACCATCAAATAGAAAAATAACTATGATTTAATCAATTAACGAAATGACATATGTCAAAAATGCAATTTATGTCAAACAGTAACGTGTAAAACTAACAAGGATTACATTAAAGAGTTTTTATATGTCCTGAAAAGTTTTGTTTTTAACATAGATGACTCTTTGACATAACAACACTGTCGTGTTAATTCAAATGGCCGTATCTGTTTAATACATGAACGTGAGAAAATCGATTTTTCAAGAAAAATCACTTACGCCCAAATTTCTAAGCGTTAAATTTCGGATTTTATAGAATATATATCCATGAAAATTATAAAGATAAACACAAAATTTATTATTGTTAGGCGTAGTGGTCATATCTTTATTTCAAGGAAAATTGCAGTTACGGCCATTTGAATTAACACGGCAGAACAATGATATGTCAAATATGTATGTAATGTCAGAAAGGTATGGCGATACGTCACAAAGTAACGTTTAATGTCAAAAATAAATGTAACGTAACATTAAACCTATCAAATATAAAAAAACTATAGAACAAAATTTCAAAAATGAGAATGTCAAATGTCAGAAACAACGACATTTGTCATATTGTACTCCAAAATATGAATGGTATAGAAAAAAAGAAAATTTCGACCCCAACCCAGATTAATGTTTCATTCTTCAACCGTAGTACGAAGTTAAGAACAGTTTACAAATAAGTTTCGAGAAGAGAACCACCCGTTTCCTAAACGGTACCCGAAAGAAACCACTCGCGCGCCTGCGCCCACGAGCCGAACTCCCTACGTCACTCCTGCTGCATCAACGTTTCGGTCTCGGCGATCTCATCCCTTTCTTCATCTCCTTCCACCCTTTCCCCTTCATATTCTCCTTCCATCTCCCCGTTATTATCTTCGTAATACCTTTCCAGGTCCCGTTCGTCGTCCTCTGGAGGGGAGGGGCCCGATATGGAGAGCTGCGGTAAGCCGAAGTGCTGCTCCTCCAAGGAGATGTTGTCCACGCTTCTGGCCTTCCTGCATAATCTAGACACCGAGCCGTGTCTGCGGAAGAACTCCTTCGGATCGAGGCCGGGGCCGCTGTTGGAGACGAAGATGGCGCTGTTCATGCGCGCTCTAGGTTTGCGAGGCGGTTGAGCGTGGATCTGTGGGAAGAAAACGTATTAAATTATATAATTTTTATTGCTACAAGAGAAGTGTTCCTTGTATGTATAGATGGTGTTATATATTCTGTACTATACGATGTTTTGGTGTGTCTTTGGTGGTGATTAGTAGTAGGTGGGTCAGATGACTAAAAAAGGTAAATGAGGCAACGTTTCCTACAACACTAGAGCTTACCTAATATATATTATCTAATGAGAGTCGCCGAAGTATCTAACATTTGGAAAATTTGATATCGTGCACAATAGGGAACAAATTGAGTTTTTGTGATACCTCCTATGACTTTTATACTTATTACTTTTGAAATCAACTACCGGTCAAAGTAAACTAGTTTAAATGTTAAATAAACGTCACAAAGTTGGTTTTAAAAGTCACATAACCAGCTGGGAGACATATAAGGGACAATACACGATGACATAAGTTTTAAAGGTTATCAAGATTGTTATTTAAAAGTTAGTAACTTTGTTAATCGGGTTGGTAACCTCTAAAATCGATTTGGTTTCATTCTTGACAGGTCATTTAGAATGATCAAAAGAATATTGGTGCTATAAAAGTTGTGTGAGTACACAAATCATGGGAGGATTGTCATAGAAGCCTCATTTGATTCTAAGATGCACAAAATTGTTCTCTAGACTTCTCAGAATAGAGTATAAAAAAATTAGTACAACATGTATCACAAGATAAACAGAATGTACTGGACTTTCTTCAAAAATGACCCACCTTCTATTTTTCCAGTGTTCTATTACAAAAATGTGTAAAAATATTTAGTGATAGTGGATAGGATATGTATGTGCAAATTGTGCAAACAATATATGCATGTCAAAAGGAACAAAACCGGTTTGTTCGAGGCACATTCTGTCAAAGTCCAGGTGTTAAACCGGTTTGATAACCTCAACAAGACCTGGTGGTTGAACAATTTAACAACCTCGAGAATGGTTTAAGAAGTATCAGTTTGATTTTATACTGTGAAGATGTTTAAAGTTTCAAGACCTCGAGACTTGTATAACTAATATATCTATGAGTTACACCAAGAGACGAAATGTTAGAAAACATTAATTCCTAGAAAATATCTATACCAGCTTCATTTTCAGGTTATGTTCCATTTCAGCATACATGTTTGCACATTTTGCAAATACATATCCAATCTATTTGTGATTTTTGTGAATGGTGAATTGGATAATTGGGAATTTATTTGCAACCAATCAATCATTTATAAATTACAATACTTTGATTGTAGTCGTTAGAAATGTATATAGACATATAATGAGCGAATAACTTTCAAAAATATTTATTGGTGTCCATTTTAAAGAATTAGGGATTTTTAACTTCAACACCTTGTATCTCAAAATCTAGTCATAGGAGAGGGTAGGGCCTATGGACACTTTTGATTGAGACATCAAGTAATTTAACATATCAAAAATTCAAACATTTTGACGATACTCCCCCCTTTGCATAATAAAAGTACTTGATTCTTTGGCAATTTCTCGTATGAATAGTAGAATTATATCTCTTTGAAAGTTCAAGACATCTTTCTCTTTCTAGAATCGTAGTCATGAAATTAGAATACTTTGAGAACTTGATTAAACGATCTTATAACAAATTAATAAAGTTTCAACCGAAATTCCCAATTACCAATAACTTTAAGATTTGCGTGTTTGCGATTTGTTTGAAACCGTGGTTGTTGTGTATTAAAATGTTTGTGAGTGACATAGCAGAGTGCTGGGTATTGTGTAAAGACAAAAAACATAAGCAATAGTCCCAATATTAATATATTGTTCTACAAAAATGGTTTATTAGGATTTGCGTCGATGTAACGCTGCACATAAAATCGGCAACGTTGGATTGCTGGATAATAAAAAGCCGCAGATTAAGGACGAGACTTATTGTTATGATTAAATATCGATTAGCTCGTTAGGCTTTGTTGGAACGTCAATCTTTGTGTCAGCAAAATCTTTCAATTTTTCAAGTATACAATCGACGAATAGAAATTGATGGAAAATTCATCAGTCTTTAAAATTAGCGAGAAAAAAACTTTGGAAATAGGCGACTTTATCGCGCGATGCTTTTTTTTATTGGAAAATGTTGTATCGATATTTTCAACAGGATAATTCCGAAGACCAAACTGAACGGGTGGCACTCGCCTTTCCTCGCACACGTGGGGTTTAGCGACTGTAGCACAGGTAGTTAGTTGTTTCTTAATAAAAAAACGAAAGACCAGGATTTCTTCCAAACATATATTTACAAACGTGAACAAATCAACAGAACTTGAGAGTTTAATGTAGATGCTTAAAAATGCAATGGAATGCGTGAAATTACTTTCTATTAGATGTGATGTTTCAATGACTTTTTTGTGACATCTTTTTCCTACTATGTTTTTTATATAAAGAAGGTGTAACCACAGAAGAAAGAACAATAGTGTAACCTAGTAAACAGTAAGGAGTATATAAGGGAATAAAATAAATAACAACTAAAACTAAGTATTTGGGACCAAAGAGTTTGGGACCAAACACAAACATTTATTACAAATGTCTGAAGAAATGTTCAAATTATAGTGAGATGTAAAAACAATGTAAAATTTTAGAGACAATTCCATTTATCCCTTTATCTTTCTTTTTAGTGTTAAGTGCTATTATAAAATTGTTAAATAAAATGAGGGAACATGTGATACTTATTTTTAATTCCCTATTTAATTATATTAGTATTTATGGATTATTCATTATTTATTAATAATCTTACATTGTTAATATCAGTAAAATTTGACTGTAAACAAAATTATATTGAAAAGAATGTATAGCATGTGTTCAAACTATCACTATCCCATCATTTTTCTTAAATATTTTAAATAGGTAGCTCTGTTACTTAAAGTTAGTAGAAATGGCAAACACATTGTTGGTCTAAGTCAGAGATTCCCAAAGTGGTCGATATCGACCCCTTGGAATCGAAATCGATTTCCCAGGGATCGACATAAATGAAAATGTATTTTGGGGTCGAGGAGATCTAAAAATCGACCCCTAATAATTCTATTAACACATGTTCTTAATTGAAACTTTCAAGATACTGTATAAGTTGTGTTACGTGTTACATGGAAAAATTTATGAGTAAAATATAAATTTTCTACATCATATTAACACATATACATTCGCCATGTTTATCCCACTACAATAAATTGATTTTTTTAAAAAGAACTTGGTACCTATATTAAATCTTTTTATCCAAAAATGTATATTTTTAAAATGTTGGCACGTAGGCCCTTTTGAAGTTAAGGTCTTCAATTATTAGATTTTTGTTGATAATTTCCTTGAACCAATGGACTGATTTATTGAAGTTTTCTGGTCGATTCTACTATGCTTTTACCGATGATAAATATTACTATGTCATCGAAAAATGTGAAAACCTTTATATTTTGGGTTTGTGGTTTGTCGAAGGTATACACAACAGATTAAGAACTGGCCTCAGGACACTTCCTTGAGGTAAACATGCTTTAAACTTTTTTAAGCGCGGAACATTCTTCTTTATGTTTTATTCTAATGAGTGTATCATACGGCACATGTCATATTTGCTTAATTTATTTATTTTACAATCAATGTCTACTTTTTAATCTTACCGTTTAAAGCAATTTAGAACAAAAAAATACTCGTTTGCATGCACAAACGTCGCTAATTACAACATCGACAACCCATTTGAATTTTTTACATCACGATTACACGTGTGCATTGTGATTTACGTTTTACACGGTCTGGGCTGTTAAATCGAATAGATGATAAAAGTGACGATATTTTTTGTCGTATATCATATAGAAAGATATGTAAAACGTTACGTTACGGTCGTTACAAGAATTGAATAATCCATTTCTCGTTTATGGCCGTCGCAAAAAACGAGTAGTTGAGTCGTTCTCATGCATGACACTTTCACGCTGTTTATACGACTGAAACTTTATTGTATATTTAATGCATCTCGGAAAGTGGCAAGAGCAGTAAAGGCGCTGCTGATATACGGTGGTAACGTAAATAATTAAGTAAATGACATATGTTGTGTGTATCGGATAATAAAATATAACGAGAGTTCAGAGCCAATAACCGATAAGTCGGCAAAAATGGAAAAATGACTTTTAAATGTAACCTATAATCGTTGTATTGCATTGTAAGTTACAACTTTGATTATCATATCAAATGTCGCTTATCAAATGGGGCAATCAAAATGATAACGTGGGTTTGTCAATTTGATTAATAAAAGAGAAGAGATTATGAATAATATAAGGGTGGAAATGATTGACAGACGTATAGAAGTTAACAATTATCTAGATAGATATATTATTGCGCAAATAAAGTTATTTATTAGTAGTATTATTTATGTCCTCCTGAAACCGGTTCTGTTTGACAACATCGTCCAATGTCGCTGTCGCCGTTAATGAAATAACGAACATTGATTGAACCCCGTTCGGATTAGTTTCGCAGGACAATTTGCAAAATTGTTACATTACAGTGCCCCGACGTGTGCGGCATTCAATACGCAAAACTTCGTTTCAATTAACGAAACCGACAACCAACTAAACAAATCAACCAGTCAAGCATTCCGGAAAATCAACGGGATACGAACAATTTTTTCTTCTGAAAATGAAAATTTTTTATCGCTGAATTCGCATCTGAGGATGACCCGGTGATCTTGTTGGCTACCGAATGGGCATCCATTACCGATGAAGTCAAATTTAAAATAATATACAGAGTGTTCCATTTAAAAAATATTACTTTGTGTTGTCACTTAGTAACTGTATACTTAATAATAATGATTTTAAACATATGATTTACATCAGGGATTCCCAAAGTGGTCGATACAAGATTCGAAGCAACAAATCTCGGTTATTTGCTCCGCTATGTCAGAAAAACGAGGAAATTTATACTTGGTTACTTCTGTACTCTATCAAGAGGCTCCTGTTAGGTTAGGTTAGGCTTAGCAAGATTTCAGTTATTTTTGAATCTGTGTTGGA